GTGTGCTTGGGTGATTTTGTTGGCGTGTGTGTGTGTTTGTGGTTTGTTCAGGTGGTATGTGTGTGGTGTGTGTGTGGGTGGCTCTGTGTGTATTGTGTAGGGTGTTTTTGTGTGGTTAGTGTTTGGTAGAATGTGGTTGTTTTGGTGTGTGTGTTGATGTTTTGCTTGCTGTTAGGGATAGCATGTAGCGCATGGTAATGTGGGAAATGATGTATGTGTGTGTGTGTGTTTGGTCAGTTTGTGGCATGTGACTTGGTTTGATGGTTGTGTGTGTAGATTGTGTGGTTGGTGTGGTTGTGTGTGGTGTGTGTGTGGTGTGTGTGTGTGTGTGTGTGTGGTACGTATGTGTGGGTAATGTGGTGTGTGTGGTGTGTTTAGGATGCGTGGTGGTGTGTGTGTATACTTAAATTATAGTTATATAGTGATTAGGAGAATTCATAAGATCTCATTGTTTAGCTCGAATATTGATATGTATAAGGAAAAATAACGATAGATACGAAGTATTTAGATATACGAAATAGAATGATGGAAATTTTTGGAATAAAGAATAAATATTTCCTCACACAACCACCATTATTGTCATATATCCAAAATTATAATAATTTTATATAAAAATATATTCTTTATTTAAAAAAAAATAAAAACCCGTATTAAAAACAAATGAACGCTTGACGAGACGATTATCAGTTACTCGAGTATCTGGATGAGATTATTTCTTTTTTTTTATTAATTAAATATATATTTTTAAAATAAAAAATTAAAAACAACAAAAACGATTTTCTCTCCCTTTTACAGGGACAGTTTACGAGAGGGATGGGAGCTGTTAGCTATATGCTTAGCATTTTTCCCACCTTCTGAAAAATTCAGTCCATACTTGGCTGGTTACATCACTCGACATTGTGACCCAGCCTATTGTTCCATGTTCCCTGATGTGTCAAAGTGGCCCATCCATATCCAGGTTTGTTTTAAAGGCATTGTAACTTTTTGACAAAACTTACTTTTTTTTTCTTTATATTGTGAATTGGACTTTTTTTTATTGTGCATCTGCTTAAATTTAGTTTAGGATTAGATCTATTTTTTTCCTGCAGTTTTTACTATTTTAAAATTTAGCAGCTAACAAGAGTATTACAAATTTATGTATGCATCATAGCACATATGCTTTGCACATGCATTTTTCCATTTGGAATTATGACTGATTCCACTACAGTCTGTGAGCAAAACTTTTTCCAATTCAGTTCCTTGGTATAGTTAAATATTTAAAGCAAGTGGTTCTCAGATAAAGCTTAAATAGTGCTAGGTTTCACATTCTTATAGCACATTTATACATGAAGGAATGTATGTTTCAAAGTTATTTTCAGGTAAGACTTTAGATGAATTTTCATGACTTACCTAGGGTATTTGTAGAGGAACCCTTACAAACTTAAGAATAGAGAGGAGATAAATGTATAATCAGATAATCTTAATTTATTTTCTTAATGATATATAATGGTGTAATGAATAGATAAGAGGTTTTGCTGACTGATAAAAAAAGAACCCAGGGTTGATCTAGAGTAAATAAATCAATAATTCTCAAGCATTTTCCATAATTGCATTGTTATTCTGTAATTCTTATGTAGGTGGCTCATTATGCTGGAGTTTGCAACAAACGTTTGGAGAGAACTTCAGTTAATGCCAAGAGACAGCGATTGAGAAAACCAACACTGGAGGAAATTGACCTTGCCCGCTTACACATATTCCGTGCTTCAATGTTTGGCGGCACCATAGAGGAGGTGATGGCACTCCAGAAGGACAGGTATGGAGTGGAGATACAGATTTGCTTACATATTAACAAATGTTTTGCTCTTCATGAACATTATATATAAGACAGGATGTCTTTATAGGCAGTCAACAGTGCATTATGAAAGTAATGAAATTTAGATTGTAAAAAGTAAATTTGAAATACTTTTCTAATTTTGAAAGACTTTAGGTGACTCTTGATTAACCCATCTGCCTTAGATTTATGTGGAATCCCTTGTAGCTTTTAGGCAATTTTGCTACCTACTGATGGCTCCACATATACTATGCCTCCAAGGAGTCTATAATGATCGTGCCTGACTTGCCCATTCCTTGAAATAGTGTTTTTCCATCCAACACTATTCATCATGATACTTTAAATTCTTACTGATATTATGATTATTAAATTGTTTCTAAATTATTAATAACATTAAAGGCAATAAAATTATATAAAAGAAGTGTTCCAAAAATCAAGGAAAATATTAAACAGGTGAGATAGGTAGTACTAATAACTGACTCTTGGATGACCAAGTCCTTGTAGAGCCATCTATGTGTAAAGACAATAAATAAACTTACATAACTGTAGGCAGGGCAAGTATTCTTGCCAAATGTCCCAATTGAATTGAACTTGAATTCAAGAGGAATAGCTTGTAGATGAGTATTTATTTTTAGCTTTAGAAATTTAAAAAAGGAAGTATGTTTTCAGATTATAAAGGAAGAGAGCATTATTGTATAATGTGTCTTATAAGAGCACAGGCTTCAATTTTTTATTGATAAATTCAGTCATCCTTAAATAATACCAAGACAGTTCTTGGTATTTATTAGATATGAAGAGGATGGGAGCTGTTAGCTATATGCTTAGCATTTTTCCCACCTTCTGAAAAATTCAGTCCATACTTGGTTGGTTACTTGAATTATTAATATAATCATTGACATGATTATATTAGTGTTTTGACCTAGGCTAACACAAGGTAAATATGTGCAGATATCCACACCGACGACTACCTTGGGTTCAAACAACTCTCTCTGAGGAGGTTCTCAGACTTCAGGGTACGAATACTGAAGGAATTTTCAGAGTTCCTGCAGACTTTGATGAGGTAAGATGAAGGAAGATGTTATAGTGATATTTTTTAAATTTTGTTTTAAAATGTTTGTAATGTATGTAGAATACAGTTTCTTAACCTAATGCTTCTGGATAACATGCAGTTCACATCATGACTGACTTGGCCTTGGCTCTGGGTAATGTGCTATTCCCTTCATGGCCTACTTTGTTGCAGCTAAGAAGGCTAGGTAATTCACGTTATGCTACTATGATTGCATGGATTACATTTCAAGATGTTTTTTATAAGGTACTCTCAAACCCACATGCCACATGCCCATGGGCATTGCATGTGGGAGAACAGGATGTGTAAATCAATGATTGGCTATTGTGTAGCATAAAAAGGGGGATTATTTAGCTCAAATTATTTGTCTGCTATACCTGGAGGCTGTCACACACCAAAAAGTTTTGGTCTCTTGCTTCTACTCTGAACCTTTACTCTAGTTGACATGATCAATCACCTTCTGTCAACAACTCAGATAGTCATATGGCACTCTGCTAATGTGCTAATGTGACTCTTGAGCAACTCAGATAGTCATATGGCACTCTGCTAATGTGCTAATGTGACTCTTGAGGAATGCACATAAAAGGGAATTACAGAAGCCATAGGAGCCTTGTATATAACTGTATAAAATTTCATATTTTGTAAGAATAAGATTTGCAAAAATGAAAGAACATCCTGTTTTTATCCCTCAATAAAACCAGTCTCAATATAACAGCTAAACTAAATATCATGTATCTCTGAATATGTAGAAACATTAGTATCATGCTCTGGATACAAGTGATACAGCAAGAAACAATGTTGCTTTGTTGATACTGTGGTGAGTGTGACACACCAGCCGAGTCCAAAATAGGCCCAGGAGGCAAGCCCAGGATGCTGTGCATACTCCTCGGAGCAGAGGCCAAGTGCACCCCAAATTCTCTCAGAAGCATTGGTTTAATGATTTTGTGTCATTATTACTTTCTTAATTATCAAAAATGGAATAGTCAGTAGTAAAAAAAGTTGTTTTACACTTTATCAGCTCACCCAAGATGAATCTGGGCACCTTTCAAGAAACAATTAGAAAATTGAAGATTGGTTTATTGTAATGACAGTGCTATTATTCACAGGAGGTTAAGGGTATGGTTATAATTTTTAATTTTTACTACAGGTTCATCAGCTAAAGCAGGTTGTTGAGCAGTGGGAGGTGGGTGACTGTGTGGATGCACATGTTGCAGCTGCCCTGCTTAAGACTTGGTACAGAGAACTTTATGAGCCTCTCATACCTGATGCCTTATATCAGGCAGCCATTAATGCTCATGATGATCCTACACAGGCTGTTGCTCTTGTTAACAAACTACCTGAAATTAACAGGCTTGTACTGTCATACCTTATAAGGTAAGTTCTTATTATGTTCCAAGTTCAGCTTTTTTAGAAAGGATTTGATATCCCCCCCCCCAAAAAAAAAAATGATTGCAGTTACTTTTGTATGATGACATGATTATATTTGAATAATAATTTCAATGATTATTCCCCCAGGTTTCTGCAGTACTTTGCCCAGCCTGATATTGTAACAGCCACCAAGATGGATGCCAGCAATTTAGCTATGGTAATGGCACCCAACTGCCTCCGGTGCACAAGTGATGATCCTCGAGTCATCTATGAAAATACTCGCAAGGAGATGGCCTTTATTCGAACTCTGATCCAGCATTTGGACACCACTTTTATGGAGGGTGTTGTCTGAGACTTGCATCAGATCTATGTACAGTTTGTGTGTGAAGAGTTGCATTGATAAGGATTTTCCATGAGCGAATGTAGAGAAAGTTGTAAAGCCTAACCACTATTATATTCATACATGTGCAAAAAGTAAAAGAGCTAAAACATCTAAAGGACAGTAAGATGATGTATATTGTTTAAGAAGTGACATGTGTTCAAGTCCTGAATTCAGCTTTGGTGTTGAAGACATTTTTTTTTTTTATGTTGGCCTATTTATTTACTCAGATGACAGAGCCTTTCATGACATGTATGCATTTATGAGGAGTCCTGTAGCTACACTTCCAAGATAACTGAGAAAGCTTTTTTGCTGTTGTACTCTGTGTTCAGAAGAAAAACAGAAGCCTATATTTTGTAAGGCATATTCCAAGTGAAGAAATGCTCTTGGGTTTAATGAAGATCAGGAGTATGTGCTTTGATGAGCATGTTATAAATGCCACATCATTCTGGTGCTCATCTCTGTCTGACCTTGAGGCACAGGTCACAGGGAACTTTCAATGCTTTTCAGAACTGAGATCAAATTCCTTGAATTTGAGAACTTGTGGGTCACCAGTAAGACAATCTGCATGAAGTCCATCAAGCAGCAGTTATGTTCACAGATATTGCCCAAAGACTTGATGAATTTCAGTATAGTTTGTGGATTATTTCCAAGTGATCTAAAGAGTTTAAGTGTCTTTGGTCTCATAATCTGAGATGTGACTGTGATTGTTGTCCAGTAACTTCTGTTGTGTTCACTGGATCCTTCAAGGGGTTTATGCTTCCACATAGCACAAAAAACTCTTCATTTTAATGGTAGGTTGATTGCTGTCATGCTGAAAAGAAGAGGCAAGTGTTTTTTTTTCTCTCTCTTTCTAGTCTCATTACTGCTTCTACTAGCTTCACATATTTGGTGATATAGTGCCTGGAAAAAAAATACTTTATTAATACAACCTCCAGAAAATATATAAGTTTTGGTTTTGAAATGACACTGGCCTTTTCATTCAAATACAGAACTGTCTACCAAACATTCCAAATTTACTGATGAGTCCTTTGTAAAGAGCCAAGTCACCCTCATTTTAGGTTCTTCAGGGACTTCATATGGAGATAATAGACCTTGTTCCTGATAGTTTTAATATTAGAATGCTTCCAATCTAGCACTGTCACGGAAGTTAATTGGAATTCTGATATTCAGAACTTTAAAACCAGTATGCTTTAAAGGTAGATAGCATTGAAATGTCTAAACCAGTGGGGATATTTGGATAGGATATCTGTTTTTGGGTAGGATATCTGTTCTGTACATACCAAAGTTTGTCCGTGGCAGTGAAGGAGATCTGTGAAGAAGTTGCCTTGACCAAATGGCTAGTGTTTAAACTCTCTGGAACATGGTCTGAATCAAAAAGCTGTTAAGAAATCAAGGTAAGCTGTATCCTTTTATGTCCAGCAGGAAAATGGACATGCCTATTATCTAGTCTTCAACTTGTATAGATTTTTTTCTCAAACTCTCTTGTGCCAATTTGAACAAATGAAAAACAGATCAAAGCTACTTTGTTTGCATTTGTTACAGGCACACATGCTTTTGTTAATAACTTGATATAGTTAAGATGTTATTTTTTATACCATGTTGACAACAATTTGTTACAATCTCGTGTAACATTCTTTGCTACAATTTGTGACGGAAATTTTACTTGCAGTTTAATTAGAGCGAGAGACGTGTAGGTGTGTATAATTATGAATGACTTTGGTTGGTAGTTGGCAGATGGGGTGCATTTATTACTGATATTTCTTTTATTATTGTTATTCCAAAAACATTTTTTATTTGTAGAAATGTTAGTATATCAATCATTTACTTGACAAGACTGCTGAAATCACTGCTGATAGGCCAGCAGTATTCCTTTTGAGACTAGTTTTTCCCTCAGTAACCTAAGGGACTAAGTTCTGTTTTCTGTGGTGATCAGTAAGTGGAGTAACTAGCTTGTAAGACAGGGCTATTCAATTACTATTGGAGGAGGGCCAGAATATAAAACTCAAATTGATTCCCTTTTATTTATTTTTTTTCTACTATATTTTTAAAATGAAGTAAAAGATAAGCTATACTTTGCCTTTTGCATTTTTCAATACCTACATGAGAAATAATAAAAATAAAATAAATTTTGCTTTAGAAACTAGTAAATTTGTTTTGATGTTTCTGATTCTGTCTAAAGAGTTAGATTTAATGAAAATCAATTTAGGATTTGGCCCATGGGTCACCAGTTGAATAGCCATGTTGTAAGATATGTATGACTGAACTTGTTTATGATGTAAGAGGATAGGAATTGTATCTTGAGGTATTGATTGCCTAACAATTGGATATTCTAAAATACTGCAAGGAAAATCACCAAAAAATAAATTCCTAATTTTAGTTTCTTGGCAGTTGATCCTTTCACACAAGTTAGTATGACCGCTCCAAGCAAAGCAGCATAAGCTAGTTACTACTGCATTTTATTGCATTTAGAGCATAAATGTGGAATGTACTGAATAGTTTAGTGTCTTCATCTATTTAAATGGGTTCAGATACCTTGTCATTTTAGGCTACTTTTGCCTGTTTTACATCCTATATTGTATGTGCCTCAAAAAGTATATAGCACAATTTCCTTTTTGTACAAATTATATAAAGTGAATTATTGCATTTAATACCTTGTTTTGCCTCCAGCTTACGCACTGGTAGCTATGCAGGAGAGGATCATCTCAGACTTGTTATTTCTGACAAGGCTTGTATAATAATTTATTTTAAATTTGGAAGCATCATGTACAGATGTCCTGATGTATTATACATTGATATTGTATAGCTGTATTTCAAAATGTTAAAAGCATTTAAAAATCATTTGTATCATATGCATATTAAAGACTGTATGCTCTA